ACTGTAATTTTGCTACTGTGATGAATTGGGCGACCCCTGTGAAAGGGTCATTCAACCCCCAAAGGGGTCCCGGCCCACAGGTTGAGAACCGCTGCACTAGCGTGTTTCAGTCTTACATCCAAGGGAATATGCTGGTTTCTTAAATATGCTACAGCTGAGTGTGAGGTAAATCCCAGTTCATTTAATGGGGTTTTCACATAGAATCCTTCTGGTGTGACCTATGAAGGATGTGGGCCTTTAAAGGGCAGCATCTAAAGGGCCAGTCTATAGTACCCATCCTAGGTCACTAAGGGCTGCATAGAAACTAGGTCAAAAGTGTCCAGTTAGGTAACATAATACCGGGTGTATTCTTCCCTTAGGCTCCATGTAAGTATCGTTGAGCATTTTTTCCTGGTAGGAGGTTGCTCCTAATTTACTCACGAACAGAAATGCAATCACTTTCTCCAAAACATACATGCCTCTCCTCTCCCCATCTTGACCTGAATTTCCAGTGGGATGTGATTGGGGTGCTCTTAGTACAATATTGTATCGCAGCAAGTGAATGGTTTCCTTCTCCCCTCATCTTGAAAATCTGACTCCAGCTGAGTGAGGTGTCCCTTCTGTCAAAATGGTTTTTAAGATGTACATATAAATGGGGTGATACATGGTTCAAGGGCACTAGTCAGGCTTTCTACTTTGATGCTTTGGAGACCAGATTAGAAAATTATATGACTTCAGAGGAGAAGTCTGCCTTCTTGGTGTTTAACCCAATAGTAGTAACCTCTTACAATATTTGTCCTTTTGTGATTGACTAACTTCACTCAGCTTGATGGTTTCCAGGTTCATCCATATCATGGTGTTTCATCTCTGTTTTGTAGGGACGCATAGTATTCTGTTGACATCATATGACTTTTTAGGTTGTATTTTTTATTTAAAATTCAATGTTTTTATACTCTCTTAATACTAATTTTTTAAGTTGTGGATTAAGTGAAGGTTTATGGAACAGACCCTCATTTTTATATTCAATAACTTATCAACCCCCCCCCCCCAGTGCCTTGCCCTGTTTCCATCGTTTTGCCCATCTCTCTCTTGTTGGATATTGCCTTCCCCTTGACCCACGTTTACACTGGACTGTCCTCTAGACTATGACTTCCCTTTTCTTCTCTTCCCCTCTCACCCCTCATAACCATCCGTCTGTTTATTTTAGTGAAAACTTAAAAAACAACAACAGTGGTCTCGTAGTCCTTTTGTGATTGACTAATTTCACTCAGCATAATGTCCTCCAGTACCATCCATGTCACGAGGCATTTCATAGATGCATCATTATTCTTTAACATTCTGTAGTATTCCATTGGTATGTGTCAAAGTTTATTCTTCCACTGATGGACACTTATCTTGTTTCTATTTTCTCACTATTGTGAATACTAGCTCAATAAACATGGGTGTGACTATATCTGGTTTTGCTCTGTTCCTTACTTCTTTAGGGTATATATTAAGTAGAGGAATTGTTGGATCATATGGTAGTTCTATTCCCAATTGTTTGAGGAAGCGCTATGCAGCTTTCCACCATGGATGTACCTATTTTGCAGCCCCATCAGCAGTGTTAATACATTTTCTTAAACCTGTATGTTATTTAAACTACAAATTCGTGGGATTTTCTAGCTATCTTTCTGTTCTTGATTCCTAGTTTAATCCCATTGTAGTCTGAAAGCATTTTTTTTTTCCCAGTGGCTAGTTGGGCACCACTTGCTTTCTTCGCCACGCTTTACTGTGGCACGCTTATTTTCAGTGATCGCTTCTTGAAGGTGAATATGAAGCATGGCCGTGTTATAAAAACTAACTGTTATTCGATTGGAGCTAGAATTATGTGTGAGTCCAGAATATGTCTGATTGTCCACGGCTTATGAATAACTCTGGTTTACTTTGGCGGTCATATTATGAGACAGACAAAAACAAAAACAAGAATAACAGCCAAAAAACCCCGAAAACAAAGACAGAAATGAAAAGGCGGGGACTGGGGGGGGGGGAGAGAAAAAGCAAAACACCACAACCCCGAAAGGAAAGCATTGCAAAGCATCCCCCTGTGATATAAGGTGATTTCATTGATTACATCAATCAATAATTTATCCCATGTCATAAAGAGTAAGGAACTGTTGATATGAATTTATGTGAGTATAGTCTGTGAGTTACAATCCATGAGATGTTACTTTGTACAGATTGATTTCTTAATTGATTGAGCTCTGTTTGCACTGAGCATGGGGGCCAGTGCTAGGGGAAGATTTACTGGAGCATTTATTACAAGGGCGGTTCCTTGCCTATTGCCATATTGTTTTCCATAGTTGGTTGTATGTGTTTACAAGTCCACCAACAATGTATATGAGTTCCAGTCTCTCCACACCCTCTCTAGCATTTATTGTTTTCTGTTTTTATAAAAAAAATTGACCAACATAATTTTTCTTCTCGCTGAAGATCTTTTAACATTTCTTGGAGTGTAGGCCTACTGGCTATACATATTCCCTCAAGATTTTTTTGGTAGGGAAAATTTTCACTGGATAAAGGCTTCTGCCAGTGGTATTTTGTTTTGTTTGTGTTTCCTTCGACACTTCAGATATTTCACTTTTCTATCTTCTAGCTTGCAGGATTTCAGACAAGCATCAGGTGTGAATTTGATATTACTCTTATATAAATAAGATGATCTTTACTCCCCTCCAGCTTCTTTTAAGATTTTCTTGCCTCTAGTTTTCAGCAGCTTAAACAGGAAATGCCTGGTTGTTAATTTTGTTGTTCTGTTTGTGGTGTTTTCTGTCTGTTATTACTTTCTGAAAACTCTCACCCATTATTAATTTAAATTTCCCTTTTTTCCCTTGGTTTTGTTTTTAATCTAATTCATGTGTATGTTATTCCATTCATAATTGTCATATAGTTCTTGGGTATTCTGAGTTGTTTTTTTCATCATTTTTTCCTTTATATGTCAATTTGGGAAATTTATAATGACATATATTCAACTTTAGTCGTTCTATTCTTGAATGTGTCCAATCTGCTGATGAGCCTATGAAGACATTCTTCATTTTTGTTACATTATTTTTTATTCCAAACATTTTCTTTAATTTCCTTCTAGTATTTCCATGTCTGTTTATATTCATGACCCAACTGTTCTTATGTGTTCTCTACTTTTTAAATTAGTGACCTGAACATATTAATTATTATAATTTAAAACTTTCCAAATTCCCTATGTAATGATTCCAAAATTTGTATCATATTTGTAATTGGTTCTGTTACTTGCTTTATTCCTTTAAATTGTGTTTTTCTTGCATTTTAGCATGCCTGATAGTTTTTTTGTTGAAAGTCAGAGGTGCTATGTCAGGTAATAAGAACTGGGTCAAACATGATCTTTATTGTGAGATTATGTTAATCTGGTTGTGGCCTGGACTGTTTTTAAAATTTTCTCTAGCTTTGTGTTCCAATGAGTTGGAATCAACTCGATGGCAGTGAGTTTGGTTTTTGGCTTGGTGTGTTCTAAAGCCTTCAGTTGCCCCCACCTCTCCCCACCCAACACACACACACAGACACACACACACACACACTTGTTGTATTTAGGTTTCCCAAGAACGCATTCTTAAATAGATTATATGTCTTGCAACTCTTTCAAGTATAATCCACTTTTAGTGTATTTGAGTTCTATTGATTTGATGGTTGAGTGTTGGAAAATGTCTATAATCTTATCATTGAGTCTTAGTATTTTTTATGGTTTTGAATCCTGGATTGTGATCCAAGAATTTCAGAAACACTTCTTAGCCACCTCCATCCCTTTAAATCAGTGGTTCTCAACCTGTGGGCCACGACCCTTTTGGGGGTCGATTGACCCAAATTCATAACAGTAGAAAAATTACAGTTATGAAGTAGCAATGAAAATAATTTTATGGTTGGGGGGTCACCACCACATGAGGAACTGTATTAAAGGGTCGTGACATTATGAAGGTTGAGAACCACTGCTTTAAATGATGCAGCAAGGCTAGAATGGGCTAATTGCCTTTTCTCTAGGACAGTTAAGGAGCCCTGGTAATGTGTTGGTCTGCTAATTGCAAGGCCAGCAGCTTTGAAATAACAAAGATGAAACTTTTTGTTCTGTAAAAGTTACAGTCTTAGAAACTCCCAAGGAGCAATTCTACCCTGGCCTATAGGGTCACTGTGAGTTACAATTGACTCGATGGCAGTGAATTTGGTTTTTAAGTTTTCCCAGGACAGCTAAGGCTCTTGGAAAGGTGCCATGGGAGTGTTAGCAAGGATGTTCTAGATTTTTTTGAAAATGGTTACTTTTCTCCTGGGTGTATATCAAGATGGTTACTTGTTCCCTGGCCCTGCCCAAAATGGGAGGAGTTTTTTGGTTGTTAATTGTTTTAAAATCTTCATAGTCATATTCAGTGAGGTTCCTGGAGGCAAACCAGAGAAGTGTGGACCGTCTCCTAAGACTAACCCTTCAGGAGCTCTCACTCTTAGCCTCCAGCAGTTCTGTAAAATTGCCATTTAAATCTTGCTGGTAGTGCATGACTGCAGTGACTTCTTTGTTCAGGTAAGCTAATTCATTATAGTATTTGCCTCTCAGCTTAGGATGTCAGATTTTACTGAGACCTCAATTCTCTAGTGAGTGTTATTGAAAAGTTGTTGCTTTTAAGTTTGTTCAGCATTTTTCTTGTTATAGGATCAGAGGGATGATTTCCAAAGTCTTCATGTGTCAGAGCTGAAACTGGAAGACCTACGTTTACATTTTAAAATTAGACATATCTTGTCCAGTTTAAAAATAATGTTTCAGCAAGAGGTTTTTAACTTTCTTATGAGCCATTTGTTTAGTTGAGATGATTCATTCTCAGTTATTTCCATCCTTTTGAATCTCAGATCTGTATATCCTCACATGCTTAGGAAGTCCTTTTTGAGAACAAATATTTTTTAAATTCAAGGACTTTATCTCACTCTAGAAAATTAATATCTTTGTCCTAAATTAACAGCAATAATAGAATTATTACACCCCTTGATTTCTCCTTAAAAATAAAAAACCCCAACTCCCAAGTCACAGTTTTCTTTCAGCAGATGCTGCCTTATATACCAGGCTAAAGTAGTTTTGGGGATTCTATTTTTTGAACCCTCATTTTATTTCATCCCACTTATTTTTGAAAGGTTAACTCAATTTTCTAAGACCCTTTGAAATCTCTAGAAGGTAAAGCATTATTTGAATTTGAAAAACTAATAATAATAAATGCAGAATTCTTGAAGAATGTATTAATTATGAACTATAGATCTTGGTGAATTTAGCCTAGTAGGATTATGGATTCTTTAAGCAACCAGGAAAGTACTACATGTGCTTGAAATCCTGATACTTTGATTACTTGCTAGAATATTGCATTTGGGGAGGCTTCCTTTTGATCCTTGAACAACAGTTGTCAGGCCATTAAGACATTGTAAATGACCTTCTTGACATGTTTTTAAAGATTTCAATTTAAGTTTTATTTTTTCTCATGGAACTTACTGGAACAACAGCCATTAAGCTAAGAGACAAATTAGCTCTATGGCATTTAAGATTCCTTGATAGATGATAAATTCCTAACATGTTTACTTTAAAAAATAACTTTTCTTTTAATTTTGCCAATTGTTTAAAATGGATATTTTTCTTTGGAAACTAAAGGCTTAAGCTTTTTTTTCCATTTGAAGAGAGAAAATTAAAATAATAAAGAACCTCATGAATATTAGAACAAAAAATAAAATTTGTTTTAAAACAATGAATTGATGCTGTTTTAGATGGATTTGGCTGAAAAGTAATTATTTTTGCCATGTAATAATTAGTCATAATTCATTTTAAGGTGAGATCCATTTGTCTAGCACTTGTCTATCATGCTTTCGAGTAAAGGCATAAAAATTTCCCTGTTTTTTCATAGAAACTTATCAAATAAACGGATAAAGAATAGTGGGTCTTTAGTAGTGACACAGTTAAAATCTTGGCACATTTTTCACCTGCAACAATTTTCTTACTTTGGTCCCTCTGGTCTGAGTTTCCTCACATTCTTCTCTCCACTAGCTCCCATTTGTTTGCTTCTTGGTACTTATTTAAAATTGTAATTATATATTCATTTAGTAATTATATATTCATTTACTCAGCCCTTTTTATTAATTATAAGATGTACATGAAAAAAATGTACATTTATTTTTTCATATTCCTGAATTTTGGATGAATCTTAAACTGGGTGCTTTCATTTCTTTCTGAGTGGTAAATAGAATAAGAATTTATCTATCAATCAATAATTTCTCATTAAAGTATTGTGCTTTTAATTATCTATGTCCACAGTTGATTATGAGTTCCAAAAGTAGAGAAATTACCACTAGGAACTAGTACCTGGCACCTAGTAGGGACTGAATTTGTATTGAATGAGTATCATTATCCATTTGGGAGATGTTGGTCCTAATACTTCTGAATTAAATCAATCAGCATATGAGTATGAATTTTTAATTTAATTTCTATCTTTGAGGCATTATATCAGGAGATTGCTTTATTCTGAAATTGAAAGAAGCCTTTAGATTTGTCTATTTTGTTCCTTCTCTTTATGTAGCTTTGCACCATTATAGAGCTATGTAGATATTAAGAGTCCTCACACTCTTATGTATAAAAATTAATCTATGTAAGCTTTTACCAGGTATTAGCAATTTCCTCTCATTAGGGAAAGGAATAAAGAAAGTATCTAACAGTTTTTAAACTTTAATAGACAGTTTTGAGCGATTGAACTTACTATTTTTCATTTTACTTCATCTTCCAAGGACTGTGCAATCAATTACTTGGCGTGTCTACTTCACTTCTTTTAAGTGAAGAACAGCATCCAGGCAGCATGAGTGATCGGAGTGCTTTAGGTCATCTCCTGGACAAGGTGTACGCACATTCCACAGCTGGAGGGAAGGTGTGGCTCTCAGTCCTTTTCATTTTCCGAATCTTGCTCCTGGGTACAGCGGTTGAGTCAGCCTGGAATAATGAGAAATTTGTCTTTCGTTGTGACACTCGGCAACCGGGTTGTGAAAGTGTCTGCTATGACAAGTCTTTTCCAATCTCTCATTTGCGCTTCTGGGTTCTGCAAATCATATTTGTGTCTGTGCCCACACTGTTGCACCTGACTCATGCGGTCTGTGTGATACGAAAGGAAGAGACTCTGAAAAAGAAGGAGGAATTCAAAGTGTCCCAAACAGGTGGAGTCAACACAGAGATGCATTTGCAGGAAATTGGAAAACAGAAAGTGAAGTACGGTATTGAAGAACGTGGTAAGATAAAATTTCGAGGACGCTTGCTGCAAACTTACATTATCAGTATAATCTTTAAATGTATTTTCGAGGTGGCCTTCCTGCTGATCCAGTGGTACCTCTATGGATTCAGTGTGAAAACAGTTTATGTTTGCAAAGGAGATCCCTGCCCACATAAAGTAGACTGCTTTCTCTCTCGCCCTACGGAGAAAAACATCTTCATTATCTTCATGCTGGTGGTGTCCTTGGTGTCTCTTGCCTTAAATATCACTGAGTTAATCTGTGTCATAGTCAAGAGCATTAAAGATCATCTGAAGGAGCCAAATGATTTTTGCCACATTACAAGTGGTCAGGGGATCACCCCCAAAGACAAAGATTCTGCACAACATGCTTATTTCAATTACGGCTTCTCGCCAGATGTTTCATTCTTGTCTGTGTCTTCTCCCAGGGCCATGATGCTTACTGGAGACAAAAATGGTTTGTTCTGCTCTAGTGATGACAAAAAGAGAAGTGTGCAAGGTTGTGCTAATTCCGGTGCTTATCGAAGTCCAATGGTACAGGCTGGAGGCACCCTCTCTAGCTCTTGTGAACAGCCTTTTAACGTCTCTGGTGGTAGCCAGAAGTCTAAATAGCTTAACTACTAACCATTGGGGTCCACACCCTTCTATCAGGGCTTGCAGTGATATCCACAGCAGACCCCAGCCTAGATCTCTTGCAACTGTGAGAGAAACGAAACGGTGCAGTAGAAAGTACACCTTTGTTCAGCAGAAATGATACTCGGCAGGATCAGTAATGAGGCTTAGCAGATGTAGATACACTAGAGAGATTAGAGGAAGTATTTAAAGTAAGTGATTTGAAGAACTTAAATTCTAAATAAAAGTAGAATTAAATGATGCAGACATCAGGGTGATTCCCCCCACCCACCCACCCACACACACTGTCTTGAGAAAAAATAGTTCTTGAACATTTTATTTCTAAAATAATCTATTGTTAAAATGTGTACCTTGAAGGTAAACTTTTCTTCTAGGCCCAAACCTTCCAGGTATCAAGGGACTTGTGGTTCTGTACTTTGTAGCTTTGGTATCAGTTAAATATTTAGACAAGGCCAACAGGGGGGTGGGAGGGGCTCTTTGTTTTTTTGAAAAACAGAGGTTTTGTATTTGTAAACCTTTGGCAGTTACATATGAGGGGGTTTCAAAATGCTTGTAGAAAATTTTATCCCTTAATTCCATTTTTCTACGAATTTTTGAAGCCTTTGTGTGTTTAAAAATATATATCCACTTGCATCAGATCATTACCATCTCTTCTTTGCCATAATTCCTCAACAATCCCTCAGTTCAGTTATTCAGGTCATGGTTTCTGCAAGTATTTTTAAAGCCTTGGATATCACAACACTCGTTGAGTTGGATCACAGAGGTAGGCCACACTCAGTATTGAACAACCATCCTGTGTGCGCATGTGTGTGCATGTAAGAGCATGTCCTGTTGATCACTTTTTAGTTTCAAGCACATCAGTCTATACTCATCAAAAGAGATCTTTAAAAAGTTTATACACAATGTTGAGTCTTTTTCATGGATTTTGTCTTATGGGACAAATGGTGTTTACTTTGCATAATTCTTGTTATGAAAGTAAAGCTTCTACCCCCTTCCTTTATTCCTAAAATGTTTCTTCCCCACCCAGTTTTCTGTATATACTGGTTCTTTTAGTTATGACTAGCTTAATTTTTTCAATTTTTAAAGACTTAAGCTGCAATACTGTTGCAACATGATCATTGACACTTTGGTCATTAATGTGAGAGAGACTTCAAAACTTAGAGCTGGGTGATTAAATGTGCTTACATGAGTTTTGCAGTAACTGGTATTTCTTGGTTTTGCTTACTAAATACACATTAATGCAGAACTTACTAGTTTGACAGTTTGGGAGATGACTACCAACTTTGGTGTTTGTATTAAGATCTTATTTGGAATGCAATCGAGTGAAGGAGATTTGACTTGAGCACATGTAACAAAAAAAAGGTATACTGAAGAACTTTATTGGTTTTTCAAATGCCCCCTGTAATCACAGATGACTATTGAAAATGCTGCACTGTGTACTTTTGTTCCTGGTGGCCAGCAATACAAAAGTGTTGTACAATGTGAAGTGCTAATTTGTTCATCATTTTTTTGTGAAACGACTGCCATATTCTGATTTATTGCATATACTATAGAACTAGTTTATCATATGAAAAATGTTTTTTTAATAAAGTTTTAAGACAGCAACCCATGTGTCTGCCTCCTGAGAGCTTCTGGGTACACTGACCTTTCCTGTCTTTTGATACCTCTTTGTTTAAGGCAAGCAAACTACACCAGAACGAATATTGGGAAGGATTATGGCAATGTCATTACAGAAGGTTTTAGTATTAACAGTTTAGTTATATGTAGTAGAATCATCACTATACCCAGTAAACTCAGATGTCGACACCCTGAAAAAAAAACAACCCACAACAATTATTTTCCTTACAATTGATCTAATCTTCCTTCCACAGGGCACTGGGGGGAGGAGAGAATTGGGGGGAATAATTGTTAAATGTGGAAACTGCCAATCCTCAGCATCTTGCTTGGACAGTTGAAACTTCTTTTTGGAAAACGCAGTCTCTTGGGTAATAGTCCTTTTATGAGGAATAATTACAATTCTTTACTAATGGGATGTATGTGTCCACTGGCTACTGCAACTGCTAAAACCTTAAAATCAGCTTGGACTCTGCTTCCCTCATTTACTATTTCACATTGACTTTCAAATTCTTACAGAATCCAAACTGACTGAACCTATTGAGAGTGGAGGAACCCCCAACTCTATTTCCCTGAGATGATATTTAAACCTCAAATGGAAACTATCCCTTGACGTCATCTTTAAAACGAACCATAGTTTAGCTCAGTTAGTAAAGAAAATCTGCCTTGAGCATTGTGTTCTTTGGAAGAATTATCCAGATGAGATTAAATTGAGAACAATAATTCTAAAGCATAGATGGCTTTGAAGTTTAGGGATCAGTAAGTCTTAAGTTACTGGTGGTCAAATAATTTTGGAACAGAGAATGGTAACATGACATATTTTACTCAGCCTGTCTCCCTTGAGATTCATTTAAGAGGTTGTGTGATCAATTGTGTGTGTGTGTGTGGTTGTTATTTTTAAGTAATTGCTTGGTAGTGACCCATGGAATGTAGGTACTACAATTCACTCATCTCTTCAAGGACTTTGGGTTGCTTCCAGTTTGGGCTACCAACAAATGGATATGAGCATCCGTTTACAGTTCTGTGAACATAAATTTATATTTCACTGGGAAATTTCCCTTGGTGGTTCTATAGATTAGGCTTTGGGCTGCCTGCTTCAAGGCCAGTCCATGGCCCAAACATACCAGCAGCTCTGTGGGCGAAAAATGAGGCTGTCTGCTCCCATGAAGATTTACAGTCTTGATCACACAGGCTGGTGTGCCTCTTCCATGTTGGCTTGATACTTCTCTACTAGATGGCCGCTTGTTTGACTTCAAGCCTTTAAAACCCCAAATGCTATATTTTGATAGCTGGGCAACATCAGCTTTCTTCACCATATTTGCACCCATTTTGTCTTCAGCAATCCTGTTGGGAAGGTGAGCATCACAGAACACCAGGTTGTTAGAACAAAGTGATCATGAGGTATTGACGGGATCGGGTAAAAGGCATCAGAAGACCCAAAACAAAAAACCATTGTGGAGGATGAGGGGTGTTGGAGCAGAGACCCCCAAACCCAGCTGTAGACAATAGGACATCTCCTCACAGAAGGGTCACAAGGGAGGGATGAGTCAACCAGGGAGCAGTATAGCACCGATGAAACACAATATTCCTCTTGTTCTTTGAGGTTTCCTTACCCCGCACTATCATGACCCCAGTCCTACTTTTTCAATTCTGGCTAGACCAGAGCATGTACACTGGTACAGATAAGGGCTCACAACACATGGAATCCAGGTGAGATAAACCCCTCAGCAACAGAAATTGGAGTAGTGAGACCAGGAATGTAGGGGGAAGGTGCGGGAGAAGGGGAGTAAGGGGAAACTGATAGCAATGATCCATGCATAACTACCCCCTCCCCCAAGGGGCATGCACAACAGAAACCTTAGTGAAGGGAGACATCGGTTGGTGTGAGATATGAAAATAATAATTTATAATTTATCAAGGGTTCATGAGGGTGGGAGGGTGGGGAAAAAGGAGCTGATACCAGGGCTCAAGTAGAAAGTAAATGTTTAGAAAATGATGATGGTAACATGTACAAATATGCTTGATACAAATGATGTATAGATTTTTCTAAGAGCTGTAAGAGCCCCCTATAAAATGATCTTTAAGAAAAAATATTTACATTCTTAGAAAGCCTTTATAGAGTAAGTCAGAACTGACTCTGGCAATGGATTTGGTTTTGGTTTGGGGTAAATCTCTATAATTGTTCTGTTGTGTGGTAAGTGCATGCATAATTAGTTTTATAAAAAAAACTGCCATACATTTTGTTCCAATGTGGCTATACCATTTTATATTCCCATCTGTTATATGATGATCGTTTCTCTACATGCTCACTAGCATTTGATGGTAGCACTTTTTAAAAAGGTTTTAGATATTCAAATCACATGTAATAATATCTCACTGTAGTTTTAATTTGCATTTTCCTAATGGTTAATAATGCTGAACATCATTGCATGTGCTACTTTTCCATCTGTACATCTTTTTTGGTGAATCATCTGTTCATATTTTGTGCCCATTAAAAAAACTTTTGTCTTCTAACACTTTAAATTATTTGATCAATTCTTTCATGTTGTAAAAATATCAATAGTTTATAGTTTGATTTTTTAAATTTTAACAGTTTTATTGACACGTACCATATAATTTAATGGTTTAAATATAAAAAAGAGTTGTACAACCACAGTCAATTTTAGACCATTTTCTTGATTGTTGTGCTCATTATTAGTTCCTCATTTCCCCCCAACCTTCCCGGGCATAACCCTAAAATGATTAAACTGGTTACTTTCTCTATAGATAGACCTATCATAGATTTCATATAAAGAAAAACCATACAAACTCCCCAACAACAACAAAATAAAACGCAGAAAAACCCCAATACGAAAGGAAGCAGAAAATAAGAAATATGAGAACAAACTTAAAATGGGTGTAAAGGGAAAGCAAATGAAAAGGTGTTAGCTTAATTACATCTGCATTAATCCGCTTTCCAAAACACTGTGCTAACAAGGCTATTCCTATCTCTGGCCAATGATCAGAAGGGAATTCACTGGAGGCTTAATCCATGTTGTGACTCTGTAAATGGATTTTAGGTTCTCCTGTCATCCATAGCCTTCTGTAAGCCAGGTACTCAGAATGTATGCCCTTTTCCAGTTTGGGATTTTATTATTTACAGTCCTTGGATCACAGGCTGGTATGCTTCTTCCTTGTGGACTTAGCGGAATCCTCTCTTAGATGGCTGCTTGTTTTAAGACAAACCTTTCAAGATTTCAGGCACTATTATTTTTCATAATTAGGCATCATGATTTCTTCATCACACTTTGCTATAGCACCAATATCTTTATGAGGGCAAGTGTTAAGTAGGGTCATGTCATAAGAACTAATTGTTCTTAGATTAGGGTTTATGATTAAGTGGGAGCTCAAAATTCATTCATCTAGAGTTTATATACATTTGTAGTCCACTTTACTAACTGCCATGGGATCAATTCTAACTTGGCAACTCTACAGAACAGGGTGGAACTGTCTCGGTGGGATTCCAAGACTGTAAATCTTTACAGGAGTAGAAAGCCTCATCTTTCTCCTATGGAGCACTTGGTGGTTTCGAACTGCTGATCTTGTGGTTTTCAGCTCAATGCGAAACCACTACGCCACCATCATTATAATTTTATTGGGAATATCCTAAATAATCCCCAAG